CCATGGACTGAGTCAGAGGAACTCGGTGCCTGACCCATCAGCCTACACTGTGTGAAGGGCAACCAGTGTAGGAAGAGCCCAGGACTCAGCGTCCAGGTTGGCCAGAGGAATCCATGTGCTTGACCCATCCTGTATACCACAGGAAAGGTAGCCAGTGTGGAAAGTGCGTGAGACTTGACAACCGGCTCAGTCAGAGGAACCCCAGTTAAATCAACTCTAACCAGAGGAAACATATTGCATAGAAACTCCTAATTTATGATTTATTCTGTTATGTAACTATAGACTTTGCTCCTGTGGTCTAAAGTATAAAATCAATAATTACTATAGTTTATCAATTTTTACATTTTGCATGATATAATCATTATTGCAAATAGTGTTACTGTAGCTAAGATATCATATTTGTTGTAATCACTTGTTCTCCCTTGAGTAATACTATTGAGAAGTTCTGGGGTAATAATTTCACCATAGCCCTACACCTAAAGTCTGAGGACAGAGCCAAATAGAAATCAACATCCCACTCTCAGTTAATCAGGAAAGGAGGATCTTGGGCCAAACACAAACCAAGAATCTTTGACAAACAGATATTAATAGACATAAAATGGAATAACCAGTAATACAATTGTAATGGGGGAACCTAGTAATCTTTTGTCATGAAGAAATAGGTTAACTAGACAAAATATCAGAAAATAAATAACAGAACTGAACCAAATTTGTCAATGAATGCACTTGATGTTTACAAAGTGTTCCATCTAACAATATCAAAATATACATTCTTCTCACCGGCACATGGGATGTTCTCTAAAATAGATCACATACTAGCCGATAGAACATACTTAAATAAGTGCAAACAAATTGAAATTTTCCATGCACATTATTTGCCCATAGGGAATGAAAAGAACATTATTATGTGGTAAGCAACCTGTAACACCCAGCTGAACTTAGCTATCCTGGTGCGGGGTGTGGGCCCACCTGAGGATTATTGATAGGAACATAAATGGCAGAATGAGAGAAGCTGTTTGGAGAAGCGGTTGGGGAGCTTTCGGAAGCTTCTGGTTCTCTTGGGCTATTCTTCTGGGCAACCTTATCCTGTTGGCTTTCTTGATGAATTTGTCTGTTTTTGTTGGAGGAGGATCTTGAGACTTTGCTGTCCTTGAGAATGGCTGCAGTTCATTTTGGGGAGCTCTGATCCTCATCCTGAGCATCACTTCCTGGCTCTGAAAGGGAAGATGGTGTGCAGCTGTCTTCTGGAGAAGCTTGCCACATTGGCTTTCCTGAGGAGCCTGGCTCTTTTCATCCATGGAGGATCTTGGGACCTTACTGTTGCTGAGGATGCCTGTGATAGAGCTCTGGAGCTTACCTTCAGTGTTGCTTCCTGTGTCCAATTAAGATCCCTCAGCCTGCTAGCACAGGACCTTCATCCTTCTGGCATAGACTTTCTATCTTCTACCACTGACTTTGGGCCTTCCCAGTGCAGATCCAAGAAGCAGGCCTTCATGAGACATTGTTATGGGCTCTAGGCCTCCAGTTGGACTCGTGGGGAGCATTGTTATGAGACTGGACTCATGAGGGATATTACCTATTTCTCGCTATCAGCACCGTCTCTCACTTTTCTTAACCTCTCCTGACTACCATTCTACTTTCCACTACTATGTAATCTACTTCCTAAGGTTCAACATAAGAGAGAGTACATGTGGATTGTCGTGATAATCTAGAGTAGATTGTTTGCTTGGTATTAAAAATTTAACAACAGGAAAAGCAGGTGGTGCATACATGTAATCCCAGCACTCTTGGAAACAAGGTTATTGCAGTCTGGGCAACATAACTTTGTAATACCCTCTGTCAAAATAAAATATTAAAAAGGGGGCTGGGAATAGAGCTGAAGGCAAGGACCCTGAATTCAGTCCGCAGTGGGATGATGACAGCAGCAGTAGAAGCAGCACATTAACATTACTTTGTAGCATATGGCCTTTTTTAAAAGACAGGGCCTCACTATGGGATTACAGGTGTGTACCACCATGCCCCTCTCACGTTGCCTTTTTTTTTGTATTTTAGGGAAGGGTCTGCAAGGTGTTTAAGGTCTTGCTACTAGATCGGACTCATAGTGATCTGCCTGTTTACAGCCTCCAAATAGCTAGGATTACAGGCGCATGCCATCACACCCAGTCTGAATGTCTCAGCACGCCTCAGGGTCGGGGCTGGCACAGCAGGCACAGGAATCGAACCCCCGGCCTCTGTACCTGCTTGTAGGCACTTTAATCCACTGAGCTATTTGGCTGGCCCCTCACATTGCTTTTTAATTTTGTCATCCTTCCACCTTTCTTCAACTATTTCACCAAATTTGTCTATAGTTAGCAAAGAATGTCATGCTAGGTCTTACAATAAAAGTAAAGGTAGCGATAATTGCTATGCTTAATAATTACTAAATTTTTACCTTGAGAAAATATTCACCCAAGAAATTATGGTAAATATCATGATAAATATTTACATATCAATGTCAGTTTAATAGGAGTAAGAATGCTGCAGCAGTCATTTATTGCATTCAGATCAAGCTGTGCAAGGAGCTGTCATAGTGTTGTGACTTGAAAGCTAGACTCCCCTGGTACTTCAGGACCAGGATCTTCCCTTTGGTATTTTCACCTTTCAGCTACCATAGGTGTGTTTTTTTCCTTGGTTTATTTCTCAGGTTTTAAAAATAAATTTTAAAATATTTGGAGTACATTTGGATTTATAGATAAATTTCCATATGCAGTTCAATTGGTTTCCTATAATGTTTAAATTGATAACTATGTTGATATATTATGTTTGTTAAAAGTGAGAAATTAATATTGGCACAGTATAGTGAACTCCTTTATTTGGATTTAACCAGTTTTCACTGATACTCTTTTTCTGTTCCAAGATGCAATCCAGGGCTTCACTGTTTGTGTCTTCTGATCCTTGTGTTCTGTTTTCCTTGTCTCTTATGATCTTAACTGCTATGAGTATATAGGCCAGACATTTTTTTAGAAGGCTCTTCAATTTGGTGTTGCCTGATATTTTCTCTTGATCAGACTGAGCTAAGGAGATTTAGGGAAGATTCTCATAGAGCTGAAATGTTCTGGTTACATCACACATAATATTCACTTACCACTAATGACATATACCTGCTGGCTTGATTGTTCACTGTTGACTTCCAAGTAACCTGTCTATCCTTTGTTTCAGTAGTATCCTTGTTGCTTCTCATTTTCGTAGAACTGTAGAGTAAAACCCTTCTTAAAAAAGAACAAGAATCTTCCATTTAGAACCTGTAATGTAACATCCTGTAACTCAATTATGTCCCAAATTTTCTGATCAAGGAGATTTTGGGGCCAGAGGAAAGTGATCGATGATGTAGAGTGTGCCTAAGGAGAGTCGCATAGAGAGAAAACATTCTCTCAAGCTTTCACAGAGAGCACATTTTTCAAGCAATGACCATAACTCATCCATATGGCTGACACTGACAAAGGATCTACAAACTGAGGTACAGGGTTTCAGGTTAAATCCTGAGGGGATTTGACTGACCTTATCAGATACAAAAGTTATATTTCTTATTATATAAGTCATGATTGGTCTTAATCATCCAGCAGAAAAGTATGAAAATGAAGTATAAAAAGTAAAGCCATATTAATATGATGAGCTGTAAAACGCACAAGTCAACAACTTTGGATATTGATAGTCTTACAGAAAACCCACTACCATTATGGACTACTGGACTATATTGGGATATTTTGCTGAATTCACGCACCTAAAGTATTTAAATGACAATGAAATGCCCTTCTCTGACAAAACTGACCAAAAAAGGAGGATACAAGTGAATGACCATTTTGTATCTGTATATTCAAAATAGTTAGGATAGATATACAGCTGCATTCTCTTAAGTCAATGAATAGAGAGATTTTTCTAATAGTGTCTGTGGACAGGATATCATGTCTGCATCTTGTACAATGAATAACCACTAAGACAGTAATATGCAATGTATTAATTATTGAAGCTGTGCTAGTAATCGGTTTTGAAACTGTCTCATTGCTATTTGTTTCTCAATAAAATTATTGAAAAAATAAAATAAAATGTAAAAAATTAAAAAAATTAAAAAGATGGGAAATAGGCAAGAACAATGAGGACAAATTTTAAGAAAATGGTTAAATAAATTTTGTGCTTGTTAGAGGGGGCTTCACTGTTGTAGAGCACTTACCTTTCTCTATATTTAGGTATTTGTGTCTTTTGAAGCATGTTTTTTCTTTCCACAGATACTCTAACTCTTGCTTTTCATGTGTTCTTTTTTGACACTCAAGTTCATTTACCTCCACTCTATTGCTAGCAGAGTACTGACTTGAAGATAGTAGTGGTGGAATCAAAGACAGTATCAGTTTTGTTCAAGCATCTTTCATTTTCTGAACATGGTGGCATACACTGTAGCCTGTAATCCTAGTTCTTGGGAGGCTGAGACAGGAGGATTGTCTGAGTTTCAGGCCAGCCTGGGTTACAAAGTTGGGTTCAAGGTTGGCCTCAACTGCATAGTGAAACTCTGTCTCAAAAAATAAAAATTCCATTTAAAAAGATGGGAAATAGGCAAAATAGGCAATGCCAATGAGGATGAATTTTTTAAAAAAATGGTTAAGTAATTATTGTGCTTGGTAGAAGAGATATCCCTGTTGTAGAGCATTTTATTATCCCAGCTATGACACATGAATAGGCGTTAAACCATAGCACAACGTCTCTTCACAAGAGTTTACAGTTCAGTTACATGTTAATCTCTAATCCTATGCACATCTCAGGAGAGTGTATTTTTGTGAAAATGATAAGCATTGGTTGCATAGTACATGTTAAAGGTTTTTGACATTTTGTTGCAGATTTTAAACTACATGTGGTCTGAGACATTTTAATAAAGGCATTTTAAGTATTTCTTGGAGGTACTGATTAATGTAAGATTGTTTTGGTTTTTATGTTAAGCTTGTATTTACTCTTAGTTGTTCTTGATTCTCTAGGACCAGAAAACCTATATTATTCCAATAGATGAGAGGCCATATACTGTGCACCTGAAACAAAGGTAAATTTTTAATTATTTAGCTTGGATTTCATTTTATGTCTATTAAACTGTTTCCTTCATAAATGTGGAATGTGGAAAAATAAATATAATTTCTGTTATATTTTTTATGCTTTGGATGAACTGATGCTTTCTTGTAAAAATATGGTACTATATCTATACAATAATAAGGAACGATCTAAAAGAAAATCAGAGTAATCTTATTTACAATGGCAAAATTCCAGTGCCATTTTTCACAGAAATAAAAAAAAACCTAAAATTTGTATAAATTGACAAAAGATTCCAAATAGCCAAACCAGTCTTGAGTAAAATGAGAAATACTGGAAACTTCATATTACTAACTTCAAAATATATAACAAAGCTATAGTAAATAAAGCCATATATACATTACAATCACAAAAGTAAAAAAAAGATATACCTACAGAAGTAGGAATAAAATTTAAGGATGAGAACTAACAGTGAACTAGAATTTAGCTCCCTGGGTACATGTAAAGGACAAAGAAAGAATCTAGATGAAAGAACATACATAATTAGACCAAAAGACATAAAAGATAGCATGTATTTAACCATCACCAGTCCAATTATTTAAATAGGAGATGACCAAATTTCCATATTTTTGTTACTTTGTATAAGTTAATTTAATAGGAAATATAAGAAGGACAATTTTATCAACTTGATTCGATACAAGTATCAACTGGTTGGGGGCTGGGGAGATAGTTCAGTAGAATAAGGATTTTTTTTTTTTTGCTCTGAATGCCTTCAGGGCAGGTTTGGCTGGCTGGAGTATTGTGGGGATCGAACTACAGCAACCTGAGGCTGACAGCTTTGTGGAAGCAGCCATTTAAAGAGCTGAGCTAGGGCCAGGCCCCCATTTCAGTAGAATAAGTGGTTATCTGGTAAGTGTAGGCTCCTGAGTTCAACCCCAGTTCTGTCAAAAAAAAAAAAAAATCAACTGTTTGAAATGGCCCCTCACTGAGCAACACTCAGGATAGTCAGTACCTAAACAAACAGGCTGCCCCACTGATGCTCATGTTAAACAGTTAAGTGGTGAAAGCCAAAGAAGATATGGTATAGTCAAGGGTAATGCAGTCAAAGTAAAGTATATTTGAATAGTTTTGTGTCCAGAATGCCTTTTTGACATGACAACTAGGGTATCACTAGTACACACTATGAGTCCAGGTTTAGTGGATGCTTCCAAAAGAAGCTACTCTGTGTGGTCTACTTAAAGTACATTGGGTGGAATGAACGTGATATTGGGAAGCATGATTAAAATCACATAATAAATACAGGAAATTATAACCAGAAAGGACTAAACCTAGACTTGAACTTTTTGTGTCTGTGCTAACAGAAAAGAATTTTACATAATTCACTTTCATCTCCTTATGAAAGTAATTTTATTCACAGTAGAGAAACCTAGAAACAGCCAGAGACTCTCATAATGTTATGGTTGATACATTGAGTCAACCTGAGAAGTTTAGAAATTTAGCTAAATAACAGCAGTTCTATTCCTGGGGTAAAAGGTTATATACTTTTATTACTCTAGGATGGTGTTCATTCTGTCACCTTGAGAAGTTTAGAAGTTCAAGGGAGTGATTCAGTAGGGGGCCAGCATACTTACTTTGTAAACATCCTCAGCTTATGGATGAGGAGAGCACAGAGATGGTGTAGGCATGGGCAGATAGCAGATATACAGTATAAAGAAGGAAAAGAGGCTTGCCCCCTGCTCCTTGTGCTTATGTTGTCCTTTGCTGCAATGAACTGTTATCCCTGTCCCATGCCACTCTGCTTCAGAGCCAGCTTATTATGGAATGAAACCTCTACAAACTGGAGCTGAATAAACGTTTCCTTCCTTAATTTTTTAATTCATTTTAATGAGAAAAAAGATAAAATAGCAATGAAACAGTTTCAAAGTAGGTTAGTAGGACAGTCACAATAATTAATATATAGCATACTGTTGTCTTCGTAGTAGTTATTCAGAGGACAAGAAGATGTAGATATGATACTTTGTCTAAACAATATTAGTAAAAACCTTTCTTCTCAGTGAACTAAGAGAAAGTAGCTGTACATCTATCCTATCTTGTGTATACATATATATATATAT